ACATTTTATTTAGGAAGTGAGTATTGCAGTGTGGGCCATACACACTGACTAGGTGGTCTTCAGTATGTCTGAAGAACAAAGAGAAGTTTGGAAGTTTTATAAAAAAGGAGAAAGGTCAGGGATTTTTTTTTTTTTTGGAGACTGAGTCTCGCTCTGTCACCCAGGCTGGAGTGCAGTGGCATCATCTTGGCTCACTGCAACCACTGCCTCTCAGGTTCAAGTGATTCTCCTGCCTCAGCCTCCTGAGTAGCTGGGACTACAGGCACGCGCCACCATGCTTGGCTAATTTTTTATATTTTTAGTAGAGACGGGGTTTCACCATGTTAGCCAGGATGGTCTCGATCTTTTGACCTCGTAATCTGCTCTCTCCGGCCTCTAGAAGTGCTGGGATTACAGGCATGAGCCACCACACCTGCAGGGTTGTTTTGAAAGAGAGTTGTTTTTTGGCACTAGTGACGTTTTGGGGAGCTGGGAAGCTCTCATTGGTGAGTGATGGGGCTGGGTAAGCTAGTCTGAGAGTCACGGCAGGCAGTTTAGGCAGCTAGGCTTGCCCAGAATGACTTCTTAGAGCAGTGCTATGTGCTCTCAGTGCTTTTCCCCTCTGGCCTTGGCTTTGTTAGTTGGGTATGACAAGAATGACCCTTATGATCAATTTTCACATACTCTATTATGTGAAAAATAATCCTTCCTGTGATTTTTTAAAAATTTATTGGTATATAATAATTGTTCCTACTTATGGGATGGATGTGATGTTTTGATGTGTACACTGTATGATTCTTTTTGTATAAAGCAGGCCAAATACACACGTTTCCTTTGGCGTCAAGGATGGCGTACTGAACGTGTTTTGTTTCTGCATATGCTTTTCACTAACACCATTATCTTGGGGATCTTCTCACACCAGCTCTCAGAGGCCTTTGTTCTTTCTTGCTAGAGGTGGGCAGAGTAAGTTCCTCAGGGGAGTTCTGGTCAGTCCGGAAGATATTGTGCCGGGGACTGTCAATTTTGCCACGGCAAAGAAGCTATGTGACCCGGAAGAAGACTCTCACTAAGGGCCCTGGTGCCTTAATTTGTAAAGTGGCATATTCCTTATATCCCTATACCCCAGAGACAATGTGCATTCAGAAATGTGGCATTATTTTGTCTGATTGGAAGAAAAAGTTTTTTCTGAAACGCATTGCATTAGTGATGGAGATGTGATGTTAGAGTATCAAGTGGCTGCTTCAGATCTGGGAACCTTTAACCAAGAGGAATTGCAGAAAAGGCTGCTGTGGAGGCCAGAGCCACTCCTCATTTCCAGGGCCAGCCTGTGCGCCCAGCTCTCGCTGCGTGACTGTGGCCTGTCTCTGTGGAGCAGCCTTGGAGTAGCCAGGCCCCAGGCAGGAAGGGGGATGTGAGCTTGAGTTCTGCTGTTCCCTGGCCTCACTTCTTGATTGTGTCGAACTTAAGTGTCAGGTTCCAGGAACGTTTGCCCATTGGTGGTGGTGATGGAGAATAAGGAAGACATGTTTAAAGTGACACATGGAAGGCAGACCTGGTTTCTCCGTTTATCACAGAAGACTCTAGTGAAATGAATTGTAATTTGGGGCAGAGACCTGAAATCGCTCTTCCTTGCCAAAATAAATTGATTTCGTCAGCTGTCTGAGCTTCATTTCTTAAACTGGACAGGAGCTAACCTAGTCTAAATTAAACTCATTTTCCATTAATAAAACTAGGTCACTCCAGGCTGCCTGAGTATACCTCTGAGTATCTTAAAGCACATTCTCCAAAATCCACGGGTTCGTGCCATTTTCAGAACCCATCACATGTCGCCAGCCTGATGCTGGCTCTCACCTCTCCCATGGCATGCTGCTATAGATGTGGGGCCTGTCTCTAACTCCATTCCAGCTGCAGGCCAGTTGTGGCAGGAGGGCATTGCTATACAGCTGCTGGGGCTGCAGACAGGCTAAGAGGGAGCTGACCTAGCCATTCTCCTGCTGGAGGAGGGGCTTTGGGCAGGACAACCCTGCCTCACCCAAATAAAGCATTGCTTTCCTGTGCCTTTGCCAGTATTCCTGCTGCTGGGAGCTTTGCACCATAAGGTTTTGAAGGTTTTATTTACACATGGGGGTCGATACACTAGATCATGGAGGTAGGAAGTTATGAATTTAAAACAAAAATAACAGCACAAATGGAATAATTTTAGAAAGGCCTTGTTCAGATAGGCAGAGCATCTCTGCATGGAGAGCTCCCTGAACAGTAGGGACGCTGGCCTGCCTCACTTGCTGGAGGTTTGTAGGAGCCTCCAGGTGGCATCTGGCCCCTGCTCCAAGGCCTGTGCACACTCCCCTGCCCTGCCCTTCCTGTGGATGTCTGAAGCTGATCTTACCTGGAAAGCCCAGGAGAGGCTCCCATTATCTTTCCTTGTTCCTCCTTTGTCTTCCTGCACATGAGAGAGGGCAGCGAGTGAACCGTGATTTGCAGCATCTGGCAGATACAGGTTCGAATGTGGCTTTAGCATATTCTGAAATACACAGATCTAGAAATGCTAATGCTGTTGGAGATGTCTGTCTTTTTTTTTTTTTTTTGAGCTAGTTGAGATTTTATTTTGGACCAAAAAAAAAAAAAGCAATTGAATTGTTTTGCAGCTGGAGGCATGGGCCGGGGGGGTGGTGCTGGGGGGGGGTCCCCAGGCAGTAAACTCCTCGAGGTGGGCTGAGGGCTAGGGCTGAGCGTCAGGTGGGTCTCCTGTTCCCTGCGCTCCCCTGCACAGCAGACTCCCTCCTGGGCTCTGGGGTAGCCTCAGGAGGGGCAGGCTGGGAGGGGCTGTTGCAGCTGTTCACTTGGGCAGGACATCAGAGGACTTGGACACCAGCCTCCCATCGCGGGTCTCGATCTTCTTCACAACCACAGCCTTGGTGGAGCTGATGTCGCTGAAGGAGCTGGAGCCCAGGCCGTAGCTGAGGCCGGGGCTTGTGAGGCCCCCATAGGCAGAGCTCAGACAACCTGCATAGCCCGCTGGTGGTCTTCGCGTGGATACTCATGTTCTGCATCCCAGACTCCAGCCGGCACTGCTCGCCCTCCAGTAGCTTGCGGTAGGTGGCGATCTCGATGTCCAGGGCCAGTTTGACATTCATCAGCTCCTGGTACTCACGCAGCTGCTTTGCCATGTCCTGCTTGGCCCGCTGCAGGGCGGCCTCCAGCTCCTTCTGCTTGTCATGAGAATCCTTGAGTGCACGATCCCCGCGCTGCTGAGCATCTGCAATGGCGGCCTCCAGGGAAGCCCTCTGGCCTTTGAGGCCCTCGATCTCAGCCTGGAGCCGGGTTCATCTCGGAGAGCTCAGTCTTCATGCGCCGCAGGTCATCCCGGTGCTTCCCAGCCAGCCTCTGCAGCTCCTCATACTTGATCTGGTATACGCTCTCCGCCTCAGCCCGGCTGCGGTTGGCAGTCTCCTCGTACTGTGCCTTGACCTCGGCGATGATGCCGTCCATGTCCAGAGAGCGGCTGTTGTCCATGGACAGCACCACAGACGTGTCGGAGATCTGGGACTGCAGCTCCCAGATCTCCTCTTCATACAGCTGCCTGAGGAAGTTGATCTCGTCAGTCAGTCCTTCCAGGCGAGACTCCAGCTCTACCTTGTTCATGTAAGCTTCATCCACATCCTTCTTGATGAGGACAAATTCATTCTCCATCTCCGTACGCTTTATTGATCTCTTCCTCATACTTGTTCTTGAAATCCTCCACCAGCCCCTGCATGTTGCCAAGCTTCGCCTCCAGCTTCAGCTTCTCCTGGCCCAGAGTCTCCAGCTGCCGCCTCAGGTTGTTGATATAGTTCTCAAACATGTTGTCCATGTTGCTCCTAGCCATTTTCTGCTGCTGCAGGAGGCTCCACTTGGTCTCCAGCATCTTGTTCTGCTGCTCCAGGAACTGCACCTTGTCGATGAAGGAAGCAAACTTGTTGTTGAGGGTCTTGATCTGCTCCTTCTCCTGGGTACGCACGGCCTGGATGTTGGGGTCCACATCCACCTTAATGGGGTTCAGCAGGCTCTGGTTGATGGTGACGGTGGTGATGCCTCCCATGCCTATGCCGCTGGCCCCAGAATAGCCTGTACCCAGGCCACCCCGGAAGCCACTTCTGCTCACTCGGGAGAAGCTCAAGCGGGCACTGGGCCCACTCGTGAAGGAGAGGCTGCTGGAGGCCCCGGGGCCAGAAGTGGACACCTTGTAGGACTTCTGGGTCACCCTGATGGACATGGTGGAGGCAGGAGTGGAGGCAGGCAGGCTGAACCAGGGAGAGATTCCAGAAGGAGTGGAGAAGCTGCTTTTTCGGAGATGTCTTCCTAAAACAGACATTGAGGGGCAGGGGAAGTCTTTGCAGTGCCTTATTTCTAGCATTCTTGTGTAATCTGATGTATCATACCAAGTACATTTTAAACAGTAAATTGTCTTTAATTTACCTTTTCATTAAAATGCTCGTATCTCTCATGAAAGTTTACCGAAAAAAAAAGGAAAATAGATGTTTTAAATAAATAGAAAGTCGGCTGGGCACGGTGGCTCACGCCGGTAATGCCAGCACTTTGGGAGGCCAAGGTGGGCCGATCAAGAGGTCAGGAGATTGAGACCATCCTGGCCAACATGGTGAAACCCCATCTCTACTAAAAATACAAAAATTAGCTGGGTGTGGTGGTGTGCGCTTGTAGTCCCAGCTACTCAGGAGGCTGAGGCAAGAGAATCGCTTGAACTAGGGGGTTGGAGATTTCAGTGAGCAGAGATCTCACCACTGTACTCCAGCCTGTCACAGAGGGAGGCTCTGTCTCAAGCCTCAAAAAAAAAAAGAAAAAAAAAAAATAGAAAGTCATGAGAAAGGGGAGGGCTCTCGCGTAATACATCGTCTGCCCTGATATCCCAGCTTTTCCTGGGTTAAGCTGTGTCCTCTCATCTTTCTTTACTGCCTTTGTGAGACCTTCTCAACAAAATGCAGATTCCTGAGTGCTAACAAAGTTTTTCTTGCTTCTATTTGCAGTGCACAGAAGCCAAAAAGCATTGCTGGTATTTTGAAGGACTATATCCAACCTATTATATGTAAGTATTTGCACTTTTCTGTGGTTTCATTCTATGGCAGTACCTTTCTCTGGGAATTGTCAGGTCTGGGTGTGGGATAGGAAAAGCCCGGCGTGGCCCAGTCTCTACTGTGGTGCCAGGCCTGCCTCACGGGGGGATGAGCAGGCGACCTCACCCGGGTATCCAGCCCACTCAGACCAGTTATGCCGAGGGTGACCTGAAATCCCGTGCCCTGTTCTGTGATGCAGGTAAGCTCTCATGTGAGGGGAAAATGGGGCTGACATGTCTGTGGAAGGCAAACGTTATGTTGGCTTATACACATTTTCCTAGGCAAAGAAAGCAAGGATCGTAGGAGTAGACTTAGGACCTCAGCGGAGCCACTGTGATGGTGTGTGTGGGTGCGTCTGTGCACATGTGTAGGAAGGCACAACGATCGCCTGTCTCTGAGGCCTCCTCCCCAGAGAGCTGCCATCACAGCCTCTCAGCTCAGAGCAGGTTATACGCCTTCCAGGGCCCCCTCACTGTCTGCCAGTCTTCCTGTAATGAGGGCATGGCTGCATTTTCTCCCTGTGGTTTTCGTGCTTTTGTAATAACTGCTGTGGTAGCCACCAGCCCTGTGGAGCCACCTACCTCAGTGGCCACATTAACTCTCCAGATTATCAGTTCTTGTTTTTGATTCTGTTTTGAAGTTCCTTAGGTATCGAGTGGAATACCTAACCAAAATTTCCCAAAAACTCTATTATTTTTAGTATTGAATTTTGTAAAACCTGAGATTCCTCAGGCATATAATTGTAGTCTAGCAGAAACACTGTATATTCTAGAATATAGGGAATTGGATAGAAGACGTATAATAATAGCAAAAAGGGTTATTTTTTAATCTGCTGGAACATACCTTTTTCTTACCTGTCATTATTTTCTTTTTCTTTTTTGAGACGGAGTCTTACTCTGCCACCAGGCTAGAGTGTAGTGGTGCGATCTCTGCTCACTGCAGCCACCGCCTCTGGGTTCAATCTCTCGTGCCTCAGCCTCCCAAGTAGCTGAGAATACAGACATGTACCACCACACCCAGCTAATTTTTGTATTTTTAGTAGAAACGGGGTTTCGCCATGTGGGCCAGGCTGGTCTCGACTCCTGACCTCAAGCGATCCGCTCGCTTTGGCCTCCCAAAGTGCTAGAATTACAGGTGTGAGCCACCTTGCCCAGCCTCTTCCTTGTCATTCTTGAGGAACCAGTGTAGGAGGGGAAGGCTGTCCATCTGTCAGTGGGGGTGGAGCACAGGTAAGCTGGCCATGTTCCGAGTCTTGGTTTTATACTGACAAGCAGGAGTCAATATGCCCCATGGCGTGGGGGCCGTGGCAGGAAGCCTCTGCAGCTGCAGAAAGATCCCACTTGGAAAATAAAGCAGCAGTGTAAGGACTTGGGCTCTAATTACGGAGTTGTCAGATTGAAGAGAAATGGTAATGGGATAACAGGAAGAGAAAATATTTTGGGTCTTCTCGGAGTAATGAATTTTCATCAGTACACTTTATTTCCTTGTTCAGCTTCTTGTGCAAATGTGGACCTTGGGCCTCCTGTGTGTGCTGCTTTGAAAACCTATTTCTCTAGTTCTTTTATAGATGAGCTTTGTCAGAGCTTGGGCATCAGAGGTCACTGCTGTTCTTGTATTGACTTGTTCATTTGTTCTTTATTAATTCACTTGTTCCCTGCATATTATGAAAGTATTTTGCATTGAGCTGGAGCCAGGGAACACAAAGACAAGCCCTGCTCTTGTCACTCAGGCCTGTGGCTTGGTTTTCTTTCCTGCTTGTCTCTTCCAATGGTGGGGAGGAGGATCCAGAGCCCTCTAGGTGCGCTGTCCAGAAAAATGGAAAAGCCAAGTCACTGTTAGAACACGAAGCTCAGCATGGGAATAACAGCAGGTAACAGTTATTAAGCACCTACTCCAAGCCCAGCATTGTCCTGTGCCTCGTACGTGAATTAAGGTTTTCTGACCTCATGGTGCCAGGAAACCCCAACCCACCCACTAGTCTTTTCGGTTCTGCCTCTGGTCTTTCTGTTTCTCCCCTCGGTTCCTAGTGCACTCACCCACACCCAGATCTGTGAATGCCCCTCTGAACCACGGCAGAAACTTTGTAACTGGTCTCCTTTCAGCCTCTTCTTCCATCCAATTCTCACTTCTTTCTAAATGTTCCTGTCACTTTTTTGCTTAAACCATCAGGAACAAGGTCCTTTTAACAGTAGACTTTCAAGCGAGTGTCTGGCTTTATCTTCCTTCTCTATTGTGAGTCTCATGAGGGCAATAAGTTATAAATACTTGACTCCCCAGCAAGGCCTGGGATAGTGCCCGACACAGTGGCCATCCTTGATGTTGAGCGGATGCATTTCCTTGCAGTTCCCACCATTCAGTCAGCAGTGCCGACCCATGCAGGGGACCTTTGGTCATTTCCTAGTTCTCTGAGCCTCTTCTGACTCAGTTCCCCTGTCCCCATAAGAGTTTGTTCCTCCCTCCCTGTTTTGGTTCTGAGAGAGAGCTGACAATACCAGTGAACTGCACCATGCGGCAAGTGCTTCGGGATGGGGCTGTGGGCTCCGCATTCCATAACCCTGCCGCCTGGCCCAGTGCATGGCACCTGAGGTTTGTCATCATGTTCGTGCAGAGTTCATATATTTTCCCTGTTACTTTTTTATTTAATTGAGGTGACCCTCAGAGAAAGGAATTAACCATTTTAAAGTGACCTGTGCGGTGGCATGGAGCACATTCCCCCTGTGGTGCGGTCCCCCCCTCTGTATAGCATCAGCCTTCCCATCGCTCCACTCTGTTGTCTATCAGCTCTGTGATCTCAGCAGCTGCTTCCTCTGTAAAACCTGCTGGGTTTGAGGCACGGGGCCTGTACATGGCCATTGCAGAAGTTGTAAGAACAGAACAAACCCAAGGCCAGCTCACCTCACGAGATTAGTGCTACAGACTTCAGTGTGCCGCTTCCCTGCACATGTGAGGGACGGCGGTGTCCTGATACAGCAGTGAACCCAGTGTGGTGCCAAGGAGAAAGGACAGCTAGCACACGTGTGGTGGCTTATCCAGTACCCTAACCAGTCCAGAGATTTAACACTCAAAAGCTGCCTTCTCCAAAGCTGTTTTCTCCACTGTCCGTCAGGTTGGGGTCATGAAGCATTTTTCTTCAAGGAGAATGAGTAGAAATTGCTTAGCTGTATTCTACTCCATCCAAGCTTATCTTGCTCCAGGAGAGGTCTGCTGCAGGCAAGAGATGCTAGCTATGCCCTTACTGGAAGTGCTTGGCCTGCAGGAGGCACAGCTGCCCTAAAGTTAACCTTATTGTTGGTCGCTGGAGCCCACTGTGGTTTCTGCCATCTTGGTGCAGAAGGCAGTGCAGGTGCAGGAGACTCGTATCCAGCCCAGGCTCACCCTTCTGCCGGGGGCCTGGGCGGGATGCAGTGGAGGCTGGCAAGCTGCCATTGCACACTACAGCTGGCCTGGCCTCTGGACACATGGCCAGTGTGCATGGTGTTGTCCTGGGGATGGTGACGGCTGCACTTCATTCATTCCAGATGCAGGTGTCTGTGGAGGGCCACCACGTATCAGTTGTTGTGTGTTGTGGTATGCAGGACAGGGAGGGGACCTGTGCCTCAGGCAGCAGTGGTACAGTCATGTGACACTGGTCATTTCTGAAACATCTTTAACATTACATTTAAAAACACCTTAAAATTGGCCTAGTGTAGTGGCTCACGCCTGTAATCTGCCCTTTTGGGAGGCTGAGGTGGGCAGATTTCCTGAGCTCAGGAGTTTGAGACCACCGTGGGCAACATGGTGGAACCCCATCTCTACTAAAATATACACACAAAAGATTAGCTGGGCATAGTGGTACAAGCCTGTAGTCCCAGCTACTCAGGAGGCTGAGGTATGAGAATTGCTTGAGCCCCGGAGGCAGATGTTGCAGTGAGCCAAGACTGTGCCACTGCACCCCAGCTTGGGCTACAGAGTGAAACTCCATCTCAAAAAAAATCTTAAATTATAGCAGATGTCATGTAAAATGTACATATATTCTGCATTTAATTTCATCTGAGTAAAGTGCTTTATCTAAGATTCTTTAAAATAGATTATTCCTTACAAATATATTGACTCAGGGTGGCATCCTATTTTGTTAGAGGTGTTTTTTTTTTTTTTGTTTTCCCCTGTGGAAAATATATTTCAAATAACACCACTGTTTTGTGAGTGTAACTCATCATGCGGAATGCATTGGGGAGGGAACACCTAGGTTGCAAACTTGTTTTAGAGATTTTACTTCTATATTTGATAATCTGATTTCATTCTATCTCACCGGAAATCCCAGATGGCAGCCAGTTTCTCCCCACTCTGCCCGTCCCTGCATTTCATTCCATCGTGCCAGTTAGTAAGCTAATAGAGACTGATCTCTTTTAATGAAATGTAGGTTTTCCACTGTTCTACCTAGACATTCAAAATTATTCTCACCTGTTCTGATTTCTTTGTGCTAAATGATCTCTCTTTCTACCCTATCCCTGCATCAAGGTTTGTTTCATTTCCTTAATTTGCTATTTTTCCATTGTTGGTCTGGGAGACTGTGTATTACATGTTATAAACAAGATAGTCTCCTTTATGAAGAGAAAGACCCTTTGGGATCTGAACAGAAAAGCAATACATTCCCGTTCCCTCCAATAATGTTTCTTTTTCCCTTCTGCTTTCCTTCACTACCTGCCTTTCCTGTTGCAAGCTGCCCTTCTAAGAGCTCTGAATTAAAATGTGCCTCTGTGCTTTGGGACAGGGCTTACTAGGTGTCTCCTTGTAGCAGCGTGTGGTTTGAAAATAGAAGGTGGCTGTGTGGCCTCAGCAGTTCCTGGCCTGTGGCTTGCATTCTCTCCTCTAGTCACGCTTCTGCTCGGGCCTTGCTCCTTCAGCTCCTTTGGCAGCGCGGCCTGAAACAGGGGCCACCGTGTGAGCTGCCCGGAGCCCAAAGATGAGAAGATAAAGGTGGGAGCTGACCGAG